TATCCCTTAAATTGTTTTAATTGCTATTCTTTCTTAGTGGCTGTATCTGATCAATTCTTTGTGCGCTTAGCCATAATTATCAACTCCAATAAAGTCCATTCAATTCAGATTCCCATAATTGCCCACGCTCTTCATTAGCCTATGCCAATTACAAAACAGCGGATAAACGGCCTGCAAGGGGGGGTGGGGGCGGCCATCAATATATGTGCTTTTTTTTTTTTAACTGAAACAATGAAATTATCTGAAGCTCTGGGAAAAGCCTATCGTGGAAATAATTCCAGAAAGAAGCAGGACACAGCGCTAAGTGCAGATTTGTTCTCCCACATGTGTGTCTTCATGCGGACACTGGATCTCAGAAAGACTTCCTGGTGAAGGGAAAACCACTGCGGTATTAATGGCGAAGCTCCCCTCAATAAATGAAGAATTGAGGACTCCTGGTGTGTGCTGGGGGCACTCTGAGAGTGGCCTTGAACCAAATCAGGAAATAGCCAAAATGAAAGGGAATAATGAAATATTACTCTTTAAATCAACTTAGAAAAGAATGTGACTGAGGTAAAATTTAATACCACAAAGCTGGCCCATTTAAAGAGATAGCTGACATGATTTTTAGTCCCTTTACCGGGTTGCTCAGCCATGATCACTACCTAGTTCAAAACACTTCTCACACTTAGAAGGGCTTTTGTCCCGACCCCCAGACCCGGCAACCACAGCCAGATTGGTCTTTCTCTATCGATTTGCCTTTTCGTTCGGTTAATTTTTTTAAAATTGAGATTTTTAAAAAATTAATAATTCGAGGATATTTCCTATTTGAGAGTATGGTTTTCTAAGAATCCACCCTCTCAAAGAGTCTCCGGAATTCCCCAGGCGCTCCCAGGCACTCTCTGGACACCGAGTCAGCATTCGTTCTTTCGGAGATCGCTATCTCCCCCAATTAAAGGTAAATACATTGTGACAGGAGATTTTTTTTACAATGCAACAATACCATAAGCCCTATTCTCTTAATTAAGGAAATGTCTCCAGCTTCACCGTTTCTAACAACAGCAACAAACCCTTTCAAGTAAAAGGGTGAACACCCAAGCATTTTTACAAAATATAATCAAATGTCATTATATTTTGGCTGGTGATACATTACAGACATGCTAGTTCTTTAAACTTAGAGAACGAGGAGGCTTTTGCTCCTGTAAAGAGTTATGGTCTGGGAGGCACCCCTATAGGGTCACTATGAGTCGGCATTGACTCAATGACTGTTTTTTGCTCATTTGTGAGACCTTTGGACAACATTATATTTCAGTGGAACTTTGAAGGAGGTGAGCTTTCCCTCACCCAACATTCTCATATGTATATTATTCTAATGTATTTTGAGTTCAGCAAATAGGGCCAGCGATCATGCTTTGGGTTGACAGAATACTTTTCTGACCACCCTATTTCCTTCCTCCAGCATCCTGTATTTTAAGTAAATTTTGGCTTTGAGTTTATCTTCCCTTACACTCTGATTTCCAGGTATCCTTCCCTTTACAAGGAACACCCAGCTTCCCAGAAATCTGGTAAGCATTTTACAAGGGCTCTTTTTATATATGAAAGAAAAAGCTGTTTTGTCAAGTGATGTTGAGAAGTTGAAAAAAAAACCAAGAGGGGGATAGAGAACGACTCCACACGGGATTCTAAATTTGGGGAAACCCACAGCCCTCTTTCAACTTGAAATGTTGGTCACCAAGATCCCTCAAAAGGTTATTTTAAGCTACTTGTAGGAAATTGATATTTGCTGTGGTGTGCGTGTGTGTTTAACTCTTTGCATCCCTGAAAACAAATATTAGTTTTCATGTGTAAGATATTTTTCAGAGGATGTTGCAGGGCCAGACAACATTTCATTCTTTTTTAAGTAGGGTGGGGTCAGGAGTCAGAACTGATTTCCACCCCACCATATCAATTTAGTCAGGAGACTTCAAACTTCACCATGGCAATTTCCTTAAGAAGGAGCCTTTTTATTCGAAGGAAACAAACACCATGGAGAGAGAAACATATTTTTCTAGTAGCTTTGCAAGCTGTCAAAGTAACAGTCTCATGCGTGACAGAACGACCAGGCAGAGCCTGCGTTTGGCTCGCTCTGGAGTTCCTGAGGAAGGTTACCAGCCTCCCCCTTTGAAAGATCTTTAAATGCAAGTTAGACTTGCTTGCGCCTTGGGGGTAAGGTCTGACGTGCTGAGTTGCTCTATCCCACCGGCTGCTCGGTTCCCTTTCCCACCTGAGTTTTGAGGGGGGTTAGCCGAATGTTAAATAGGAACACTCCACGTTCTTGGAGGTACATAACCGGGGAAGTGTTTTTAAAGGCTGGCGAGGGAAGGGTTGGAGGAGGGCTTCTGAGGCCAAATGAATGCATTTGAAAGAAACTCAAGGCTTGGGCAAGTAGCCTGTCCCCACCCCCACCCCCCACCTCGAACAAGAGCTTCGACGTGTGTGCTTAACGTTGAGGGGTACCTAGGCTAGAGGCGGGGAGCCCTTTCTCTCCAGGGAGCCGGCCTCACTTTGCAGCACCGTTTTCAGATCGTCTGCTAAACGGACTCTAGCGTCTTGGGGGGAAAGGGCACCCCATCTCCACTTCGTCAGAATGCATTCGTGCAAGTCAAAAAAGAAAAAAGCCAATAGCGACTTTGCCCTTTCCAAAGGAACCACATCTCCCCTCCGTCCTAGAGCTCCGCCGAGCGCCCCGGCGCTCCTGGCTCTTAGGATGGTGGGGAGGGGGGTCGCGGTCCATAAAGGGGCGCCCTGGTCCCGTGGCTCCCCTCCCCCGGCGCGCGTCCGGCGGCAGGTACGCAGCGGGGAGGAAGTTTGAAGGGAAGCTAGGGAGCTCCAGAAAGTGAGCCCCGGACACCGCAACTTTGGAGCCAAGAGAAAGAGCCCGGAGCCAGGGCGGCCCCGCCCTGGGGCTGCCAGTCTGGGGTCGCGCAGCTGCAAGCTGGTGGCTATTTTACGAGGTTCTTTTATTTTTTATCCTTCTCCCCAAAAGACATCCCAGTGAGCGGAGGGTTCCCCCCCCACGAGGTGACGCCATGCCCTCGAACAACCCCCACCCCCAGAAAAAGCAGGGGCGGAGGGGGGGAGGTGAAGGAGGATACTTGCCACCCACCTCACCCTTCCCCCCACCACTCCCATCCCAGCCGCTTCCCATCCCCCACCGCCTCGGCCAAACAAAGTTGGTCGACTGCAAAGGAAACCGAAAAAAGTTCTGTCGCCCCAAAGCCTGGCGGCCGCTCAGCATCTCTTTTGTTCGCCGCGAACCCACAG